ATCTGCTGAACCGCAGGGCCGGCGCCAGAGTGCCACAGTTATGCCAAACTGCTGCCTGACCTGACTTCCTGGGATGGACCTGCAACCTGGAGCGGACAAAAATATACACACCCCATGCTGGATCTGGTCCACCCTGCAGAGTATGGAGAGGAGAGTTATAGAGGAAGGAGCAGAGTCCTCCAGCAGAGCAGAGTATATCAGGAGAGGAGAGGTATAGAGGAAGGAGCAGAGGCCTCCAGCAGAGCAGAGTATATCAGGAGAGGAGAGGTATAGAGGAAGGAGCAGAGGCCTCCAGCAGAGCAGAGTATATCAGGAGAGGAGAGGTATAGAGGAAGGAGCAGAGGCCTCCAGCAGAGCAGAGTATATCAGGAGAGGAGAGGTATAGAGGAAGGAGCAGAGGCCTCCAGCAGAGCAGAGTATATCAGGAGAGGAGAGGTATAGAGGAAGGAGCAGAGGCCTCCAGCAGAGCAGAGTATATCAGGAGAGGAGAGGTATAGAGGAAGGAGCAGAGGCCTCCAGCAGAGCAGAGTATATCAGGAGAGGAGAGGTATAGAGGAAGGAGCAGAGGCCTCCAGCAGAGCAGAGTATATCAGGAGAGGAGAGGTATAGAGGAAGGAGCAGAGGCCTCCAGCAGAGCAGAGTATATCAGGAGAGGAGAGGTATAGAGGAAGGAGCAGAGGCCTCCAGCAGAGCAGAGTATATCAGGAGAGGAGAGGTATAGAGGAAGGAGCAGAGGCCTCCAGCAGAGCAGAGTATATCAGGAGAGGAGAGGTATAGAGGAAGGAGCAGAGGCCTCCAGCAGAGCAGAGTATATCAGGAGAGGAGAGGTATAGAGGAAGGAGCAGAGGCCTCCAGCAGAGCAGAGTATATCAGGAGAGGAGAGGTATAGAGGAAGGAGCAGAGGCCTCCAGCAGAGCAGAGTATATCAGGAGAGGAGAGGTATAGAGGAAGGAGCAGAGGCCTCCAGCAGAGCAGAGTATATCAGGAGAGGAGAGGTATAGAGGAAGGAGCAGAGGCCTCCAGCAGAGCAGAGTATATCAGGAGAGGAGAGGTATAGAGGAAGGAGCAGAGGCCTCCAGCAGAGCAGAGTATATCAGGAGAGGAGAGGTATAGAGGAAGGAGCAGAGGCCTCCAGCAGAGCAGAGTATATCAGGAGAGGAGAGGTATAGAGGAAGGAGCAGAGGCCTCCAGCAGAGCAGAGTATATCAGGAGAGGAGAGGTATAGAGGAAGGAGCAGAGGCCTCCAGCAGAGCAGAGTATATCAGGAGAGGAGAGGTATAGAGGAAGGAGCAGAGGCCTCCAGCAGAGCAGAGTATATCAGGAGAGGAGAGGTATAGAGGAAGGAGCAGAGGCCTCCAGCAGAGCAGAGTATATCAGGAGAGGAGAGGTATAGAGGAAGGAGCAGAGGCCTCCAGCAGAGCAGAGTATATCAGGAGAGGAGAGGTATAGAGGAAGGAGCAGAGGCCTCCAGCAGAGCAGAGTATATCAGGAGAGGAGAGGTATAGAGGAAGGAGCAGAGGCCTCCAGCAGAGCAGAGTATATCAGGAGAGGAGAGGTATAGAGGAAGGAGCAGAGGCCTCCAGCAGAGCAGAGTATATCAGGAGAGGAGAGGTATAGAGGAAGGAGCAGAGGCCTCCAGCAGAGCAGAGTATATCAGGAGAGGAGAGGTATAGAGGAAGGAGCAGAGGCCTCCAGCAGAGCAGAGTATATCAGGAGAGGAGAGGTATAGAGGAAGGAGCAGAGGCCTCCAGCAGAGCAGAGTATATCAGGAGAGGAGAGGTATAGAGGAAGGAGCAGAGGCCTCCAGCAGAGCAGAGTATATCAGGAGAGGAGAGGTATAGAGGAAGGAGCAGAGGCCTCCAGCAGAGCAGAGTATATCAGGAGAGGAGAGGTATAGAGGAAGGAGCAGAGGCCTCCAGCAGAGCAGAGTATATCAGGAGAGGAGAGGTATAGAGGAAGGAGCAGAGGCCTCCAGCAGAGCAGAGTATATCAGGAGAGGAGAGGTATAGAGGAAGGAGCAGAGGCCTCCAGCAGAGCAGAGTATATCAGGAGAGGAGAGGTATAGAGGAAGGAGCAGAGGCCTCCAGCAGAGCAGAGTATATCAGGAGAGGAGAGGTATAGAGGAAGGAGCAGAGGCCTCCAGCAGAGCAGAGTATATCAGGAGAGGAGAGGTATAGAGGAAGGAGCAGAGGCCTCCAGCAGAGCAGAGTATATCAGGAGAGGAGAGGTATAGAGGAAGGAGCAGAGGCCTCCAGCAGAGCAGAGTATATCAGGAGAGGAGAGGTATAGAGGAAGGAGCAGAGGCCTCCAGCAGAGCAGAGTATATCAGGAGAGGAGAGGTATAGAGGAAGGAGCAGAGGCCTCCAGCAGAGCAGAGTATATCAGGAGAGGAGAGGTATAGAGGAAGGAGCAGAGGCCTCCAGCAGAGCAGAGTATATCAGGAGAGGAGAGGTATAGAGGAAGGAGCAGAGGCCTCCAGCAGAGCAGAGTATATCAGGAGAGGAGAGGTATAGAGGAAGGAGCAGAGGCCTCCAGCAGAGCAGAGTATATCAGGAGAGGAGAGGTATAGAGGAAGGAGCAGAGGCCTCCAGCAGAGCAGAGTATATCAGGAGAGGAGAGGTATAGAGGAAGGAGCAGAGGCCTCCAGCAGAGCAGAGTATATCAGGAGAGGAGAGGTATAGAGGAAGGAGCAGAGGCCTCCAGCAGAGCAGAGTATATCAGGAGAGGAGAGGTATAGAGGAAGGAGCAGAGGCCTCCAGCAGAGCAGAGTATATCAGGAGAGGAGAGGTATAGAGGAAGGAGCAGAGGCCTCCAGCAGAGCAGAGTATATCAGGAGAGGAGAGGTATAGAGGAAGGAGCAGAGGCCTCCAGCAGAGCAGAGTATATCAGGAGAGGAGAGGTATAGAGGAAGGAGCAGAGGCCTCCAGCAGAGCAGAGTATATCAGGAGAGGAGAGGTATAGAGGAAGGAGCAGAGGCCTCCAGCAGAGCAGAGTATATCAGGAGAGGAGAGGTATAGAGGAAGGAGCAGAGGCCTCCAGCAGAGCAGAGTATATCAGGAGAGGAGAGGTATAGAGGAAGGAGCAGAGGCCTCCAGCAGAGCAGAGTATATCAGGAGAGGAGAGGTATAGAGGAAGGAGCAGAGGCCTCCAGCAGAGCAGAGTATATCAGGAGAGGAGAGGTATAGAGGAAGGAGCAGAGGCCTCCAGCAGAGCAGAGTATATCAGGAGAGGAGAGGTATAGAGGAAGGAGCAGAGGCCTCCAGCAGAGCAGAGTATATCAGGAGAGGAGAGGTATAGAGGAAGGAGCAGAGGCCTCCAGCAGAGCAGAGTATTCCAGGAGAGGAGAGTCATAGAGGAAGGAGCAGAGTCCTCCAGCAGTGCAGTATTTCAGTGTATCAGTAACAATGTAAACAATGTTTTTCTCACATTTTGTTCCCTGTTGTTGCTCCGTGTTCCCCCTCTTCATACACACAATGCACTTGCAGCACTCAGGAAAACATTCCCTGTAATTTTCTACATAGCAACAGCATGAGAGCTGATGGCGTCAAAGCACCGGGGGGGAGGGGGGGTATTCTGAATATGAGCGAAGAACACAATGCGCGGATTGGAGCCATTTTTTTGTCCGTACAAATGTTCTTTTCTTCTTTCCGCGGGTCGCTCGCCCTGACCTGAACAGTAACAGACATAAACACATATTTATCTGCAGCCGTGTCTACACTTCATATTATTCCATCTTGTCAGCCGCTCTCACAAGGCCGCTGAGCATAATGCTGGTTTATGTAACATGTGAGGATAAATATGTTAACTATTATATGACTTATACAAAGAATAAGGGATACAAAGAGCACCTGTCACAGGAGAGATAAACCTGCAGTAGCTGATCTGTTTTTAAAAGGGTAACCCACAGAGCTTCCACCTTCATCCTCAGCCAGTTCAGCTCTCTGAGCTCCCCGACTGACCAGATCAATCTTTATTGTTTATTCAGCAACAACTTTGTCTATTTTGATCAGTGTTAGTTTAAAGATGCTTTGTATCTCTCTATCTCCCTCTGATCAATGTTTATAAACAATGTTACTTTGTATCTCTATCTCCCTCTGATCAATGTTTATAAACAATGTTACTTTGTATCTCTCTATCTCCCTCTGATCAATGTTTATAAACAATGTTACTTTGTATCTCTCTATCTCCCCCTCTGATCAATGTTTATAAACAATGTTACTTTGTATCTCTCTATCTCCCTCTGATCAATGTTTATATACAATGTTACTTTGTATCTCTCTATCTCCCCCTCTGATCAATGTTTATAAACAATGTTACTTTGTATCTCTCTATCTCCCTCTGAATAATGTTTATATACAATGTTACTTTGTATCTCTCTATCTCCCCTCTGATCAATGTTTATATACAATGTTACTTTGTATCTCTCTATCTCCCCTCTGATCAACGTTTATAAACAATGTGTCATTTTTTTACCATAGCAGCTTGTACAGCTGATGTATGTATACATCAGCTCCATACTATTGTTTTGATATATAGGAATTTCTGTCTTTCCCCGACTATTATCAAGTTGGATGCTGGACAGATGCTGCAACACAAAGTGACATCAGTTAGCTGATGTCTGATGTCACTCTTTTTAGGGCTGAGGGCCTCTGTGAGCTACATCAGACACCCCTTCTCCCCGTTACAGTAATCAATAGGGGGGGGGGGGGCATTGCTACTTCTTACACACTATACAGCGAGCAAATGTTGTCTCCCTAGGACAGGAAGTGTGTTACTGCCAGGGGGAAATAATAGGAAAAAGCTTGGAAAAAGAAAACTAATGTAGTCAGCTCATCTAGGGACTGATACGCTGCAATATGTATCACATCTTTTGTCCTTTGGCTTAACTAATCAGTGGTATAAGGGACCTACGTTGAGTCTTTTTAATGTTTTTTGATGCAGGTATGCAGGTTATGTATTCATAACTTTCCCATAATCCCCTCTCTCTCCTCTCCTCTCAGATTCTGCACGACAGTCCCAAGGCTCGGCGGGAAGTGGAATATCACATCAGAGCGTCAGGAGGACCTCATATTGTGGGTGTCCAGGACGTGTATGAGAACATCCATCGTGGGAAGAGATGCCTGCTCATCGTAATGGAGTGGTAGGTTGGACACTACGGTGCCATCCGTGATAGTCAGTGCGAGCACCACCGTTCTTATTTGGCCAGGACTGCTGTAAGGTGTGCGGAGAGGACCCCCACCACCTGAAAATTTTGTCTAAGGAGCACGCTAGAAAACCAGCCGAAAATCTGCCTAAGATGGGTGGATCGTACGTTTTTAAAATTACTTTACAACCATTGGAAGACTAAGGTCTTTGGATGGTTGTAAAGTGTATGGCCACCTTTAGGAGAGGATGTGGGGTCTCTATCAGGACTCCAATCTGCACATTAGGATAATCTGTTTATAGCCGAGCACAGTAGTCCGTTCTGTAATTACCTGCCTCTTGAAAGGGCTCAATTCACAAAGTTAAAACCAGAGGATAGTAATGTATTTTTATTTTTAGTCTATCCAATGAGATTTAAAAATTCCTTCCCAGCTCCTATCTTTTTTCCCTTCCTTCCCTCTCTTTCCTCCTCCCTCCCATCTTTCTTCCTCCCTTCCCTTCCTAATCGTTGTAATGTGTTATATATTTTAGCATGCAGGGAGGGGAGCTCTTTACTCGCATCCAGAAGAGAGGTGACCAGGCATTTACAGAAAGAGGTAAATAAAATGTATGTGACCTGCTTATTTTTAAGGGGTAATTCCAAATAAATCTGATATATCAATGTTTGGTGAGTGCCGTGTGTGTGGGGGGAGGGGGTTTAACCCCCTTACAGTTCCCATCTAGTTGTGGATTTCATAAGGACTCTCTTGGTAAGATCCCTTTGCTGAATTCCTGGGTCCCCATTATGAGGAGCTCCCACCATCCCTGTGCTGAGTTCCCGGGTCTGTACACCCGCTGTGCCCATTATGAGGAGCTCCCACCATCCCTGTGCTGAGTTCCCGGGTCTGTACACCCGCTGTGCCCATTATGAGGAGCTCCCACCATCCCTGTGCTGAGTTCCCGGGTCTGTACACCCGCTGTGCCCATTATGAGGAGCTCCCACCATCCCTGTGCTGAGTTCCCGGGTCTGTACACCAGCTGTGCCCATTATGAGGAGCTCCCACCATCCCTGTGCTGAGTTCCCGGGTCTGTACACCCGCTGTGCCCATTATGAGGAGCTCCCGCATCCCTGTGCTGGGATGGATAGATAAGTCACCAGCAGCCTCACAAGTACCTAATGGCATCCCTGTACCAGAGACGTGGAGTGACTCGTGCCTCAGTGATGAGCTTGATATGTCTCCATTTATTTAGGTAATGGGAACATTTTATTTTGGGATTAATGAGGGTAAAACACAATTAGGACGGCTGGTTTTAGGTCGGATTTGAGATAAAATTTAATTTTTGATCCTCCAGAGGCGTCGGAAATCATGCGTGACATCGGATTGGCCATACAACACCTCCACGGGCTGGACATCGCTCACCGAGACGTTAAGGTCAGTCGCTGCGCCCCGTCCTATGCGTGCTGAGTGTTCCCGAGTGTCTGATATTCACCTTACATGTCGGTGTCCCCTCCCGCCCCTCCCCCTCAGCCCGAGAATCTCCTCTACACCTCCAAGGATAGCAACGCCGAGCTGAAGATCACAGATTTCGGCTTCTCCAAGGAGACCACCATACAGAACGCACTGCAGACGCCCTGCTACACGCCGTACTATGTGGGTGAGTGGGGGGAGGGGACCTGCAGCAGACTGATCACTGGGGGAGGGGAGACTGAGGAAATGCTTCCTCCTGCCTGCAGCAGACTGATCACTGGGGGAGGGGAGACTGAGGAAATGCTTCCTCCTGCCTACCACAGACTGATCACTGGGGGAGGGGAGACTGAGGAAATGCTTCCTCCTGCCTGCAGCAGACTGATGACATCATCTCAGCCCAGGCAAAGTCACTGACTGGAGATCAAGAATTACTTTTTAATGATACAATGTTCCCTGCTGCTGTATATTGTGACCTCCCCGGGATTTCTCTCATGCTGACCAGTAGAGTTTTTGTCCTCTGAACTGGACTCCTCCGTCCTCATCTCTATGTTTCCTCTCATCTTCCTGCAGCTCCAGAGGTTCTGGGCCCGGAGAAGTATGACAAGTCATGTGACATGTGGTCACTGGGGGTCATTATGTATATCCTGTAAGTATAAAGCAGAAGGTTCCCGTCTTTGTTTTCTGGTCATCGTTGCTCTCCCCCCCCCCTTAATCATGTGTCCAAATGTATGAGGAATCCAGACGGAGGTCAGGGAGTCTCCAGTGAAGGTTCTGTTCCTCCTCCATCATACAAAGACATTGTAGACAATTGGGCTCTTCCAGCCTTGTGGTCAGAGTTTGGTAAAGACCCTTTTCTGTTCCTCCCATGACTGTCCCCTGTGTACAAAGCTCCATACAGACATGGTGTCACCAGCTTGTGAAGGCCACGCAAGTTCCTCCACACCAGAGCCCCGACCTCAACCCGACTGAACACCTTTGGAATAAAGGGCAGTTGTTCCCCTCCAGCCTTGTGGTAACACTTTAGTGAAGGCCCTTCTGTTCCACCATAACTGTCAGGCTATGGCCTAAGTACATGGAGATCCCCCCAAATGGTGGGGTTTAGGGGTCTCCAATGATGGGATTTAGGGGTCTCCAATGATGGGGTTTAGGGGTCTCCAATGATGGGGTTTAGGGGTCTCCAGTGAAGGTCATGTCCATCCTCCATCATACAAAGACATTGACCACAAGACTGGAGGAGCACAATTGTGTACACAGTTTGGTGAAGACCCTTTTCTGTCCCCCCCATGACTGTCCCCTGTGTACAGAGCCAGCTCCATACAGACACGGTGTCACCAGCTTGTGAAGACCACTCAAGTTCCTCCACACCAGAGCCCCGGACCTCAACTCCATGGAGCTCAGGAACACCTTATGGAACACACAGTAGATGTTCCACAGGAATGATTGAGTTCTGTTGTACAAAGCTCCATAAAGACATGATGTGGCCAGCTTGGTGGAGGAACCCGAGTGTCCTGCACAGAGCCCCGACCTCAACCCTACTGAGCACCTTTGGGATGATGGAACTCCAATTGTGAGCCGGGTCTTCTCATCCAGCACCACCACCTGACCTCACAAATGGGACAAATTCCCACAGACACCCTCCAAAATCTTGTGCAAAGTCTTCCCAGAAGAGTGGGGGATGGAATAGCCTCAAAGGGGGCAACTCCATAATCATGCCCATGGGGGGAGGAGGGGGACAACTCCATATTTATGGCCATGTTTCTGGAATGTTATGTCTAATGAGCTCATATAGGTGTGGCGGTCAGGTGTCCAGAAACGTTATATACATATATATTTGTATATTATATTCACTATAATGGCTTTAGCGGGAGCCGAGAGCACCAAGGAACATGGAGTCTTGCACAGTTGTACCTCTTCCTCTGATATCACTGGAAGCTCCTCACAATGTGCACTACAAGCTGCAGCATGTCAGATAGAGCTCCGCCTCCTTTCCCCTTTCCTCCGCAGCCTGACTGTCCCTGGCCCCGCCCCTTTCATTCACTGGGATTTCAGTTCTTCCAATCACGCCGGCTCAGCATCACACGTGGGCGTTACAAGGGGTCGGGCGTTCTGTATGCAAATGCACCCATGAACGTCCAATCCGTCCGATGGACGCACCACCCATCCACGGCGCGTAACTCCTCCCTAGAGCCCGCCCACACTGCTTGCATTTGGGCTGAGGTCTCTTGAGAGGAGTACTGCCGGCCCCTCCCGCCAGCTGTGATCTGCCGGCATTGCATAGAGCGGCACAGAGACCCCGGGATAATGTCGGAATGAAGGTATGTCACGAGAAGGGAAAGGTTTTATATATATATAAATGTCAATATCGTGTCGATGAGCGGGGGAGGGGGGAACCAAGTGAAGGTGAAATATAAGCAGATTAGACTTCGGCTTTAATTCCTTGCTTAGCAAAGGTGAAAATAATTCCGCGCCGCCAACATATCTCCATCAGGCGCGGCGCCTTTCCCTTCTCCGTCTTCACGTTGTGATAATCCGGATGGCTGTCATCACCGAGAAGCGGCGCCGTCAGCCCTACAAATCATTTCCCATCCTTCCGGTCTTATGTTCTCCTCTCTCCCCAGACTGTGCGGATACCCCCCCTTCTACTCCAACACCGGCCAGGCCATCTCCCCTGGAATGAAGAAGAGGATCAGGATGGGGCAGTACGAGTTTCCAGTACCGGAATGGAAGGACGTATCGGAGGAAGGTACGAGGAACCCCCCCTTCCCCCCCCCCACGGGGTCCAGCAGGCTCAGAGACCATTGTTCAGAACAGGTTCCTGTAAAGAAATAAAGATCCTGCAGGGAGCTTCCGAAGATAAATAGGAAGAGTATAAAAATAAGTCAGGAGCCCCACAATTCAGCGGGAGCTTTCCCTGCTGTGCTCCTGCATGAGCCAGGCTGCCACGACCTAGTGATGGAAGGGTGGACACAGCGACACCTGCTCTGTAAGGGGGGTGAATAGAAGTGAATGGGTTGTCATGGTGTCAGTAGGATCTTGATTTAAAGGATGAAGAATGTGTCCCGAGTGTTCCCCCTCCCCCCATGTCAGGGCCCCCCCGCTCACACCGGGGCGGGTTCGGCCGTGCGGATTTGGTCCGCGTGGATGCGCCAATGTGAACGATCCCATACATTGCTACGGGGACCGTTCATGCGACCGCGCGGCTCCCTGCGCTATGCGAATTGCTCCCTGACCCTTTTTTTGCTGCGCTGACCAGCGTGGTTTTGGGCATTTTTTCAGCGCCGAAACGCAATTAAAAACACACCAAATCCGCGTGGAAACCGCGCTGATCCGCAGCCTCCCCGGTGCGACCCATTGAACCAGTCTGAGCTTTGACCCAAATCAGTCCTGTCACTGCTCTCTGCCGTGACAGGGGGATGGGCTGGATTCCCCCCCTCCCCGCTCCGATCTGCCAGCGCTGACTGGCGGAACGGACGGGGGAGGGGGCGGGTACAGCTGGCTCTGCCTCTAGATAGGCGGAGCCAGCTGTCACTCACGCAGCTGGGCGGATCCAGACATAATTGTCGGGATCCGCTCTGGCTGCGGCGTCTCAGTATACGGCGAGCTGTAGCTCCCTATATACTGAGCTTTGGGTGACGGGAGGACGCCCCTGTACTCCCGTGACCCTTAGGAGAACAATGGGGAAAAGCCCTGATTTTGGCTAAGTGGGGTTATTAAGGGTTAAAGTGGATTTCATATAGCGGGTCACGTCTGACATGAAATAGATCCGGTGACACAACACATTGTCACATTGTATTTCCTCGATGACGCAGACTGTCAGTAAGTGTCACTGTACACAGGAACGGCGGCGTTATGAAAGCTGGTAACGGCCGGCGGTAATAGTGGCGATGATGAAGGGGGAGGGGGCGGCAGGACGTTTTTGGGATGTATCTTCTACATTCAAAATCCTCAAGTGGTTAAAGTGCATGTCCACCCAAAACCTTTTTTTTTTTATTTTTGTCTGTGTTGCTGTTGGAGGCATTTCATCACTTCCTGTCTGGTAGAACGTTGTCAGCAGGACAGGAAGTGAGGGGAAATCTCTCTAACAGAGCCCCAGAAAGCAGTAGAAGCCTCATAGGGATTACAATACCCCCCCTCCCCCCCCATCCCCACGGACCTTCTGCCGCCTTCTCCTCATCTCTTTGGTTTTTTTTTTGTTGTCTGACAGCTAAGCAGATGATTCGCCATCTCCTGCGGACGGACCCGACGGAGCGGATGACCATCACGCAGTTCATGAACCATGCGTGGATCAACGTAAGTCCGGCTCCTATCCGGGCCCCCTGGAGGGGGGATTTCGGGTCCCCTTTTATGTCCCTCTGACCTGGAAGCTGTGAACGGGGATGAGGAGTGAGATACAGACAGGTCGCAGAGAAACTTCAAAGGGAACCTGTCCTGACCGAGCCTGGCACAGTGACATGGAGGCCGCCATTGCTGAACCCCTCCAGGAAATGCTCTTTTCTGGCTGTTTCTGATGACGACATTGGCCGTCGCTGCCCTGGAACGAGAACACAGAGAGTAGAGTCAGAGCTTTATGTGTGTATACTCGTTCTGGGTTAGAGACTCAAACAGTATTAAAGCCATTAACCAGTACGGCAGCCAGCAAAGCAGCATTTTCAGAGGGCAGCGTCCTCTGGCATCCCCAGTATCTCCTTCTTAGCTTAGAACTTGATGCAGGATAGCCTCCAATGATAGGGGGGGGTGGCAGGACCCTCTCCTGTACTCTGCAGGTCCAAGCTGTCACACTCCCAGCCCACTATTAGATTCGGGGCCCGGCTGGCTCTCAGTGTGACAGCCGGGCCCCGTTCCCTATCGGAAGTACTGACAGCGGTTCCCAATACACAGAGAGCAGAGGACCGTTCAGGCCAAAGTGACAGGTTCTCTTATTACACAGCCCCCCC